AACAGGACATCGTGGGGGGGGGGGGGGGTCCAAGAGTGGACATCACTACGAGCATCTCCTAGGCGGCCCAAAGTCGAAACTGAAGACGGTGGAATAAAACGTCGTTGTCACCGTTCTTGCCTCTTATCTGAGACAATAAAGACGAAATCTTCTTCCGCTCCTTCAAACAGCTCCCGGCAGTGTCCAATATCAAATGAAACCAACAAACGTCAACTAATTTTTTTTTTCAACAAAAGTAAAACCCGCAGCTCCTTTAAAGATTACATTTTGAGCCGAGGCTGTAGTCATCCTTATGACTATAACAATGCTTCTTGCATTTAAACAAAGCTGTACAAGCTTTTCCGCAAACACTACCAGACGTTTCCATTGGCATTGGGTAAAAACTGACAGCAAACAATCATTGATCAGGGGGATGTACAGGGCCGAGTGGCATCTTCCCGCCAAGACTAACACTGCTGCTGTCCAACTTCTAAGGGTGACACATTACCGCTTGTACCCATTCTCGACGGCATACCATGTAAGATTGGTGGGTTTGATTTACCCACACCGTACAACGTGACGAGCATGCCCACTGAGGAATCAAAACGGCTTCCATACAGTCCCGACAGCCAATTCCGTCGTTTTGCTGCCCCTCCGCGTTCAGAGAGACAACACAATTCCTCTCCCTTGGCAATCATGAGACAATTTCGTGTCACATACCACTTGTCACAACTCAGCCTAGTCCAAGTACCGCATCATTGTTACACCATGCAAACCATTCAGTCCAGAGCTTCACTAAATCCGTCCGCCCAATGTCTCCTTCCCCTGAAGAATATTGGCCTTGATACTTGATGAGTAGCTCCTTTAGTTGATTACTTTCCTGATTATTAAGGTGTCTGGAACTCTGGATGACCTCTCATACAAATCTTGTAAGTGATTGGGCACAGTAAGGTCCTCTATATCCCCTTTCTCTTCCGTTGCCGCCCGCACTGTCTCTGTTCCAACGTCAGGAGGGGGGGGGGGGGTCAGCCATAAGCTCGGGGCCTATTGAATCCACCGCATAGAGCAATGCTGCTGTTGTACCTTGGTAAAGGGTTACAGGATCATCTTTAAGATTTATGAGGCGCAAGGGGACTACACTGGAACCAGTTCTGACTACTGAAGGTGCTACCAGGATACGGTTTTTCTCTGTCATCGAGATTGTGGGCTCTATCAGTCCACATGGTACCATCATATCGTGCACCTTCCAGACTCCCTTGAACAAGCATTTCCATCCTCGGAGGAACAACAACAGTTTCAACTACTGTCACTCTACATGTACATCTCTGTTGTCTCTCCGCTGTCTCCCAAAGAGGCAGCGCCATCCCTCCCCAATCGAGGCATTTTGTAAAAACTTGGTAGTTTTATTTTTTATGTTTGTAAATATTGTATGTTCCCTTTAAGCATCCAAACAACTATTAGCATTTTTGAAATAGTAAAAAAGACAAAGTTTAAGTAAAAAATATTAATGGAACACCTGATTATTTTTAATTGTATAATAGCAAATTAAAGAGGGAAATGATTTAACTAAGTACATAATTTAGTATTTAAATTTATTGTCCAAGGTTACATGTATGCAAATCTCCTATATGTCATGTACATAATCTGGAGAAAATGTGCATACTTTGTGCATGCGTAATTCCGTTACCGTAATTCCGTTACCGTTTCGTAATTCCGTTACCACTTGGAAAAATGCCAAGAAATTACTATTTGAAAGTTTTTATTTTTAATTTATGTTTGTAGTAGGGTCTTTTCTCAACACACATGATTTGAAGAAAAAAAACAAGAAAATTTGTGAAAAAAGTAACTTTTGCCATTTATTCGGTAACGGAATTACGTGCTAATTTTGACATTTTTAAATGACTACCTACACTACCGTATATATATATATTTATATATATAGATTTTTTTTAATGACGCTGAGTAATGTTAGTAACTTGTAACATTGTAAAATAAATCAAACCTTTCCCCTGTAATTCAGAAAGTAATACATACACAAAATTTTATTCTTTTACCAAATCTGAACGTTTTTTAATCATAAATTGCAAAAATCACTGTTTTTACCAGAAATATTAATTTTTTTTCAATTTCTTTTTTGAACTGAATTCCCAATTTAATTTAGGTCTGGAAAAAGTACAAAAAAGGTTTAATATGTAAACATTTATTTTTGACATTTTTTGCTCTCCCATGGAGAATTGCCCATGCGCATACTATTGTTCCGCTCCTTCACCATACCCCCCGCGGCGCGCTCCGAGCGATCGAACCGAAAATGACTGCGATCATTCTGCGCGCGTGCACGTTTCAAGTGTCAGGTTGGCTCAGTGCTGAAAGGGCATATTTTTCATCATTTTTGCCGAAAACAGACAGAATCCACCGATGTTTGTTGGGTGCACATAACGTGAGTATATCATGACGTATTGTACGGAGTTTAGGGGCAAACTGTGCAGCGGTTCTGTGGAAAAAAGCTTGGTTGGGATGGACGTTTTTGTACTTAATTAGTGTTTTGTGCTGACAACAATTTTGCGGGGTTCTGAACCTATGAGGCTCCACTACGTGGAGCCTCATAGTTCTAGGAGTGCTCGATATACTGACTTAGTTTTAATGGAAAGAATGTAGTATCCAGACACAATGCCAGACGCCATTTCTGATGTCGTGTAGGCTACAAAGACTATAGAGAGTCGATTGCAAAAATTTCCTAAGTTTTTCAGTCCCTAGAGTTACAATTTACATTTTTGTAATAACTAACCTAGCTTGAGTAACTCCAGCTCTAATGCCCACGCATTAGAGCTGGAGTCACAACTACGTTAAAAGTACCGGGTCGTAAGAATCCCGAAATCCCGGACTCTGTATCCCCAGTGCATTACAAAAACGCTCCATTTTCCCTATGTTATTCCGACCCAGATTCCATAATATATACCAAGTTATACAATGCAACAGACATTCACGAAGTTAGTAATCGACTTCAAACAGAACAATGAAGACTAAAATATGAAATTTTTGCGATTATTTTTGTGGCGATTCTCGAGAAACCATGAGAAAACGTTGCGCGACACTATTCTGCCGACTGCCGTCGACCAAAAAACCCCACAACATTGGCAAATAAAAACATCAGATTTACCTCAAAACAGCCTCCAACTTACTAGATACGCCACCTGAGGTACAAGGAGAGATCGATGATTAAAATCAAGGTGCTAAAGTTTGCTTACAAGTCGGTTGAATAGTGAAATTTCCAGTTCAATTCCGAGAGCTCCCCTCGCGATCGATCGTTAAATTTCCGACACGGTTTTGAACGACGCGATGTAACCGTACGTGCCCAGCGTTTATTCAGTGGTCCCAGCGCGATTCCGTTACTGAGCGCGATGCATCGATTATGATAATGAGTAGACTGGATATGGTTAAAGTGCATTCGAACTATGATACAGAGTCGGGAACTAGGGCAGCTATCAGCAGAAACCAGTTCAAGCTACATGACTCCGTATCATCGTTCAAAATGCACTTGTACAAACATGATCAAGTCTACTCATTATCATAATCGATGCATCGCGCTCGTTACCGAAATCACGCTGAGACCACTGAATGAACGAGTCGTTCAAACACGAGTTGGAAATTGTTGTTCACGATCGATCTCGAGGGGAGCCCTCGGAATTGAACGGGAAATTTCACTTTTCATCCTACTCGTAAGCAAACTTTAGCACTTTGATTTTAATCATCGATCTCTCCTTGTACCTCATCAGGTGGCGTATCTAGTAATTTGGAGGCTGTTTTGAGGTAAATCTGATGTTTTTATTTGCCAATGATGTGGGGGGTTTTTGGTCAACGGGCAGTCGGCAGAATAGTGTCGCGCGACGTTTTCTCATGGTTTCTCAAGAATCGCCACCAAAATCATCAAAAAATTTCATATTTTAGTCTTCATTGTTCTGTTTGAAGTCGATTACTAGCTTCGTGAATGTCTGTTGCATTGTATAAGGTATGAATTAGGGAATCTGGGTCGGGATAATATAGGGAAAATGGACTGTTTTTGTAATGCACTGGGGATACAGAGTCCGGGATTTCGGGATTCTTACGACCCGGTACTTTTAACGTAGTTGTGACTCCAGCTCTAACGCGATAGGCATTAGAGCTGGAGTTACATGTACTCAAGCTATGCCTGACCTTCATATGATTGAGATAATATATGATGAAAAAAGGATGCAACTTTCTTTCTGTTTTAATGCCAGTTTTTGAGCCTGCACGGTATACATTAACGACTAAAAAGAAAATTTCTTGCCGATTTCTTTGTGATCAGGAAATGCAGAACGGTAGCTCCAGTATCACACCTGGAGATAGCGGCATTTTTTATCAGTAACCTAGGGAGTATTATGTTTATTCATTAGGAAAGAACAATGACATCACAGCATAATACTTAGTTGACTCGCTACATTAAAGGAATTTAAAGAACAGATGTCGTCAGGTTGCCACAATAGCCTAGTTGCTAGTGGGATGAGTTTCTGATTGAAAGACCTTGGTTAGAATCATGTCCATTTTTCATCTACTGTTGTTTCTTCTCCAAATTTATCTAAAGGATCATTTTAATCAAAGGGAAAAAAGTCTGAATCCTAAGTCTCTTATGTATCTCTTTTTATTGACAAGCTTCATATTCATCAAGTTGAATACTAGTACTAAGACCTTGAATAATTAATGTTATGGTTTGTTTTGTTTAATTCCACAAATAGGAACAAACCCCATTTAACCATGGGGAACAATTTTAGTGAATATACAAAGAATACATTTATGGCTTAATACTGCTGGCTGTTGAACCCTTGCAAATAATTCTAGTGTCATAAAATTTCGTCCGAACTCCAAAAACCAGAAATTGTTCCCTAACATGGCACACTTGAAGAAGTCTGAAATACTTTCAGAATTCAGATACGATGTAGATCATCAAACTTAAATATATGCATGTGTTGATATTAATTTTTTTCCTTGTTTAATATTGCAGGCTGAGAAGTTCAGTCATCAGGAAGCCACAATCATCTCACAATGAGGATCTGTGCCAGCAAAATCTGCCACCATAGCAGCAGACATCTCAAGAAATGGCAAATTGAAAGCTGTGACGAGCACGGTCTACCACACGGCAGTTGTGGCTGCTCGCCGCCCTTTAGATTTCATTATTTCCCAGCTAACCTGACCGTTCGGGAAGAGTGGGTGGAGAGAGTCGATCGTTACGAGACCGGTGGGTCTGGCATAACACCCAGAAGATGGCAGCCACGAATAGACAGTGTTTTGTGCTCGGAGCATTTTGTCAACGGGGCGCCCAGCAAAGAGTATCCTATCCCCTGGTTGAAATTGGGGCGGGACTTTGGCACCCCTATACCGGCAAGGCGTGTTCTTAAAAGGAAAATACTTCCTTTGAAAAAGACATTGGAATCAGCCAAGGGTCAAGATAAAACACCTGTAGCGAAACTCACAAAATGTGTGGCTGGTAAAGACGTTCAGATGGACAGTGTTTTGTCAGAGCACAGTTACAGCTATAGTTGTCGCTGCTGTGAAGCTTGTACTTGCCGAGGCTGCTGTGACAAAGACTTGAAAATAAACCAGCTGTCACACCGCATACATGAACTAGAGAGCATCATCACTAAGAAAGCAAAATTGATCATGGTGACCAAATATGTACATTGCGGACAAAAGACGACCATAAACAATCGGAAAGACATCGCCACCAAGATATCAAAATCGGTAGCGAAGACGAACACCAAGGATGTACATTTGAGACAAAAGACGCCCGTAAATGATACAGAGGAAATCGTCTCCAAGAAATCGAAATTGGTAGCGGAGACAAGCACCAAGGATGAACATTTCAGACAAAAGACACGGTCTGAGCCCACCAGCGTTTCTACAAAGCTGTTGACATCGAAGACGAACACCAAGGATGTACATTTGAGACAAAAGACGCCCGTAAATGATACGGAGGAAATCGTCTCCAAGAAATTGAAATTGGTAGCGGAGACGAGCACCAAGGATGAACATTTCAGACAAAAGACACGGTCTGAGCCCACCAGCGTTTCTACAAAGCTGTTGACATCGGATAAGAAAGTCCAGTTTTACACTGGCCTCCAATCAAAAGCGGTGTTTGATTCAGTGTTCCAGTATCTGGAGCCCAAGCTGACCAACGTGCCGTTTTGGCGAGGGCCAAAGGCAGGCAACAAAGTTCGAAAAGGAGGTTTAAACAGGTACAATTTTTCTTCATTATAATTTTTTAGTATTTGAAATAATACATCTGCTACTGCATCAGAGCCTGAAAGTAAAAGGTCACACGGTGAACCTCCAGAAATCTTAATTCACACTGCCTTGCCCTTTCTCTTGCTGTAATTTTGGACAGAGTGATTTCTAGTCGTAAACACCCCAAGGAACATTCATGTTGAAATTTTATCTTGGTATTCCTCAAGAAAAATGATGAGAAATCACTTGGAGATGGGTAAAAACAAATTTAAGTAATGACCTTTCACATTCAGCATTTTCATTCTTAGGTCTCCTTGTTCGTTCTCACATTGCATGAGAACATTGGCGAGTGATCTTATACTCTTGCCCTGGCCACTACGTGGCTACATATTTCGTCACCAACACCACGAAGTAACACCCATTTACATACCAGTAAAAACTAGCAATCGGAGAAAACGGCAACTAAAGTTGAACGCCTTCTAAAACAACACTTTGCGTCAAAACGACAGAGTATTTTCAGTTGGGTTCTCGTTGTGGACACTTGATGTTCCTGAAACCGAAAAAGCTGCGAAACTGTAAATTTTCGTTTTCACGAAGTAACACTCTTCAATGTATTCAACACGAGGAAAGTGCAACTTCAGGTCAGCGCGCGCGCTCATACAACTTATTACAAGAAGAGTGTTACTTCGTGAAAACGTTTTTGCTCACTTATGAGCAGAGTGCGCGCCTTGCATTGCAATGGTAAATGGAACTTGATTGTTACTTCGTGAAAACGAAAATTGTCACTTTTGCGCAAAAGTTGCCATGGATACTTAGCGTAATTATTAAAGTAAAGCTCTTGAAGCTTTGAAACTTCGTGCAATGGTAGGCCTTGATGAATAATGTTTAAAAATCAAAAAAACTGAAAATCAGAAAAAAATATGGTTTAACACGGTAGAGTGTTACTTCGTGGTGTCGGTGACGATTTGTATGTATATTTAACGAATGATATCAACATGTTTATGTATCACATTTTCTTTTCTTAGATCATCCGTCAAGTATGGGCCATGCAGGAAACTGCAGTCTAAAGACCTTTTCCTGATGGTGTTAATGAAGCAGCACATGGGCCTGCGGAACGCAGATTTGGCTGACCGGTTCCAAGTATCAACCGGGCACTGCAGCCGAATAGTATCGACATGGGCTAAATCCTTGGCTCCGGAGTTTGGCACGGCATTGGAAGTGCTCAGCGAGGTAAAACACTGCCAATCTACAGAGAGCCTTTCCAAGGCACGCTGTGTACTAAGCAGTTTCGAGGAGTCTTGAACAGTGCCAAGATCTTCGTACAGCGTCCATGTACAAGCCTGGACCAATTCAGACAACACATCACACAGCACTGCTGAGTTACTTGTGTGTGTGCACTCCTTGTGGCAGTGTCGATCGTGATTTGAGTCAAAATCGTAGGGAGGCAGAGCATCAGATAAGGACATCGTCACAAACGTCTTGGATTTGGTCGTGCCTCAGGACCAGTACATGGTGGATAAAGGGTTTCCAGAGGAGCTGATGCTTCATGGTGCTCATCTAGAGACACCAACGCCTTCTAAGGAACAGATGTTTACCAGCTGGAACACAGCGCTGACTAAAAAGGTGGGAAACCTCAGAATACATGTCGAGTGAGCTATCTGGAGACTGAACGGTTTCGTATTCCTCAGAATACATTGCCCATAACCCTTGTGCCATAGATGACAGAGTGATCAATTGTGCAGGCCTTTGTAACTTCTATGATCATCTTGTTTAAAGGTAGGGTAGATCATTTGTCATTTGTAAATTTTGTTTTCTTTTGAAGCAACAAAAGCGCACAAAATCTAAAGACATGCTTAACCAGTTCACGCCGGGATTATTTTGACAGGAACGGAACGAGGCGCGGGATTACTTTTCACTCGACCTCATGCCAGGCGGGTTGAAGCCATCATCCTCGGGCAGCACACTCATATTTCCGGCCTCGCTCCCTGCGTGTTTATCCGTCATCCGTTCTGAATATCGCAAAACCTTTGGGGACATGCATGTCATCCGGTGTGAACAGGTTAACAACTAACCTGATGAACTTTAAGCTCTGTGAGTGCAGTTTATTCAGATTGCAGCTACGCGAGTTCGCACCCTGAACCAACGAATAATATCAAAAATGCGTCACTTGACTCATCTTTGGGAATGGCCATCTTTAGTTGTTTTCTTCAAAATGACAGCATGCCAGAAAGAATAATTTCACAGGGAGGTTATAGCCATCCCATCTTTAAACCAAGTAAGCGTTACGACTATAAGTTGTCAGTTACTTTTTGGATAGCTGCAAATGATCTACTCTATACCTTTTAATGGAATTAGAAATTACATACATTGTACATATACATACATATACGGGATGTCCCCCAAAAACCGAACCCTCAAAGCACCCTCTTTGTCACAGCTTTATAAAGCAAAGTCAATTTTATTTTGATTTGTCCATAAAACCTTAATTTGTTAGCTTTAATATACTGAAAACATAATTTCAATCGGTTCAAGACTTGTTGAGTTGTGGCAAAAATTATATATTCATTTTGTCCACAGCGTCCATTAGTCTATGTAGTACACCTTTGCTTCGCAAGGGTCTATGATATCTGATCAGTCAGTTTCCGTGTCACGCGTAGCTGCTCTATTTTCTCGTCTACAGAACTGACAGCAACGTGAGGCCAGCAAACGATGGCCGTAAAAAGGGCTTCAGAAAATTCAGAATTTTCAGGGCAAACCACAACCGATCCAAACAAACGAAGTTCTTTTTGGTAGTTACTTAAAGACCTACTTATTACATCCATCAAGGCTTTTTTTTTCTCAAAAAAAGGATTTCGATGCATTTTGACGATATTATTTCACGGACAAATCGACTAAAAATTAGGTCAAGAAATTTCCGGTTTTTTTTTTTAGAACGACGAAAGTCTCCCGAATGTTGAGGTAATCAAAGGAAAGAATGAACCTTCATCTACAAAAAACTTGTGAACGTGATGTCGTTAATACATGTATTTTAAGAATTCGACGTACATTGTACACCTACATATGTACATGTAATGCATGTAAAGTTTCCAACAACTTCCATTTTTCACAACGCGAAAAGATCGTCGCCATTGTAAAGCATAGAAAAGGGAACTCAAACACAGTGTGACCTTGTGACCCATATGCCCACTGATTGGTCGAGCTCGAGTATGGCCTGCTTAATATTCATAAATCATTCATTGCACGTTCGCACGTGCTATTCACAATGTTTTCAGGCCAACGTATGTCTGCGTACTTACATATGTGTACGTTCATTTACACGCGTACATGTGATTGCAAATCATGAAATCTTGCAAAAGTCTTCATTTTTCAACCGGCGATTTGGACCAAACATTAGAAGTCTCCTGCACGTGTTTCACATGAAAATGAAGCGTATACTTTCCTCTATCTACTGAGCCTTGCCGTTTCTTTCGGTCTTTTTTAAGAATCCAATGTACATGTACACCTAAACACTATTGGCCCTCGCTTTTGTTGATAAAAAATATGATTTTGTTTGACAGGCCGTAACAACCCTTTATATTTGTCAAAAGCAGTTATTTTTGCTATCAAAATACTTGTAAAGCACACGATTTCAAATTTTCACCTATTTAGCCATTCTGGCCAAACAGTGCATGTATCCAGGCACTTCTCGTGTTTTTCTGTAGTCTCGAATAAATCTTGTAAAATCTCGCGTACACTTTTGGGCCATGCGTGCTTGACCTTGGGACGAGAAACTGAGATCAAACAGGGCTGTGTGCGTGACACGGCCACTGACTGTGATCAGAATCGCTGATTAATTATGCAAGACAACCGCCTCTTGACCTCTAGATGTTGACCAATCAGCAGGTGCTTTCTATATCGGGTCTTTGTTCATTCATCCGTTTTCGCGTCATAGACATCGATAATAAAACCTAGACACGACAATAATTCACTGTGAATTGAGCAAACAAAGGCTGCGGTCATGGACTCTGTATTTATAATACACATGTATGCGATACGCGTATGCCTTGCCAAGCTTGTCGAGGTGTTACAGATCTATGCCCGGCCATTCGAACTGACCAATCAAAAACTTTAGTCCAGATTTCGGAATGAAATGACGTCACGATTTAGTAAAGTCGACTCCAATTGTCTGGTGCGCGGGATCGCAGAAATTTGCATGCTTAGATCAGACGTTTTACCGGAGACAGGGCTCCATGGAGAACAAGTGATACTCGGACTAGGCGTTCATGAGAACAAGGTTCAAAAGTTGCATCCATGAAACAACCAAGTATAGGGCATCAGAACAGTAGCCTAAACATCTAAAAAGTTAAACAAAAGTCTTTTTCACTTTCAGGACTACCATTTCTTCCAAAAACAGGAAATGACCTTTGTTACAAACAAATTAAAAAAAAACATAAAAGAACCATATAAAGGGAGAAATATTTTAAAAGTCAAAGAAAGCAAAACTACCCTCACCCCAAATCCGTCACATTCCTAACAAATGACAATTTCATTTGTAAGACCGCGGACAATATGAAAAAGCGACACTTGTATGAATTGACAGAGCTCGATTGGAAAGATTTCTGTTTTTGCTGAAAGGCTGATGAACTGTACTTTTCAAATATGTATCAATGTTTCTGAGAAACTTTTAAAAAGCTGTAACAAAGAGGGTACTTTGAGTTTGAGGGTTCTTTTGTGGGGGGACACCCTGTAGTTTAGAATCACAATTGAAGCTTTAGTGGTGTGGTCTCATCAAGAACTTTGGCTAGATGCAAGCAGTGTCAATCCTGGATGATTCGCCCCTTTTCATTCTGGCCTTTCAATTGTGTTTTTTTCTTGAGTAACCATACAATGACTGATAGTAGATTCATGTGTACATTGTAAACTCCGCATGACGTAGCCATAATGTGGTATCAGAAATCTCTGTATTTAAGGGGTCATGAGATTAATTTGTTTTAGGAACAAATATGAAAACTATTTGGCATCCCTGTTTTATTAAAAAGTGCACTTCTTTACACATTTAAAGTTTTCCATGCTTTTCTGGACAACTGAGAGCGATGTTGCTGTGTTGTCATTTCAGGAAGACACTGTTCAGTTTAGGGGTGTTGCGTTCAAATTACATTGTAGGCCTATGTCAATTAAAAACATTTGTGACAAAAGTTTGCTCATTGGCTTACTGCCAAAACATTTAAAATTCTGACAACTTGTAGTGCTGAAGTACAATGTACATATATGTAGCAGTAACGTTGAGGTTTATGCCTGAAATTACATCACACTTTTGCTCATTTGCATTAACATAAAAAGGCAACAAATGGGCCTACCCTTGGAAATTGCAAAAACAAAAATGGAAATAAGGTTTAATGGGACACAAAGGTATACTTTCAAGGATTGCATTAAAATAAATTATAGGTCCTATAAACCAAAATCGTTCCCTATTAGGAATTATACAACACCTGAATAAATCCCCGTCATCTGATTGGTGGATCGTTGATCACATGTCATTGAATTATTTGTACCAATGCACAGCGCGCGCGTGGCGCGCAGCGCACAGTGCAATGGAAGTACTATTGCACTGTGATTAGAAGTACCATTGCACTGTTACTGCACATGTTGCTGAAGGTGGCGCTGTGGTGTTTAAATTGGCAATACAATAAAAGTTCTGGACTTCTTGAACTGTTTAAGTTCTAAACTTATGGAAAAGTTTTAAATTGAGATAAATTGAATATGATAGTTCTCAACCTGTTGAACAGTTTGCATAAATTAAATATAACTCTGAACTTGTCAAACTTGTCAAACAATTTTTAACTTGAATAAATTGGCTATTAAAAGTCAACCAATCAGATGACGAGGATTTATTCAGGTGTTATATAAAACAAATAATGAATGTTTCACGTTCGTGCAATAGAAAGAATAATTTCATTCGGTGACAGATGAAATGTTCCATTCCACTCGGCTTCGCCTCGTGGAATGGAACATTTCATCTGTCACCTCATGAAATTATTCTTACCATTGCACTCACAAACATTCATTGTATTAATAATGCATGGTTCATTTTAGACAAAAAGATTGGTTTTTCAATGACCAGAATTTTTGTTTGAAAGAGTCAACTGTACGTAAAAGACATAATAAGTATTGTATATTTCTTTGCCAGATTTTGTTAATTTCAATTTTCAACCAGTTACTTGTTAACTGTCTGCAAAAAAAATAGTCACTTGGGATACATGGCCTACATGTACATGTACAGTATTTAAATGTTGTAGCCGAATCCAACACTATCACACATAAACGTGAATACAAGTACTCGCAGTCACACATACATGTACAGTGTATGGGAAGTCAAAATAAACCGTTTTGTTAAACTTAAGTCGGATTTGGAAAGGCATCTCTACAAATCCCAGGATTGGGGAAAAATTATATAAAATAAAAAGTAAGAACTAGTAAGAAGTTTTCGGCTACCAAAAAAAGGGAGGGGGAATCTGTAGGCCAAGAATACATAAATTGTGATTATTTCTGTCTTGACATTCTCTTGTAAGTTGTTAGTCTTTCATGTTACAGTGCAGGCTCAAAAATTGGCATTAAAAAGTTGGTATATCAAGCAGAAATTGCAATGTGGCAGTGACCTACCGGTACCTCTTTTACAAATTTGTTCCCCTCGACTTGCTTTAAGTCACATTGTGGCGCTGTTTTCAAGATGGCTGCGGAATGTGAAACTTATTATCTAGCATGTCTAGTGGACAACGTGTCTTTGGATTCTAAAATGGCACATTCCAGATGAAAGTGCACAATCATTAAAACAATACGTGCAGTAAGACCTGCACCTCAGAAAAAGTTTACCCATATTTGTTATAACCTTTGAAATCTTATTGGAACTACTGAAAGTTTAATCCAATAAGTCAATGCAAGTCAAGGATTAAAGGGTATTTTGCGGATTGAGTATTTTGAACTAAATGATTTTCTTGACACTTGAATAATTTGCAGATCAGATTGTACAGTTTGAAACATGCACATGTGCAACCTTTAACGACTGTAAGTCAAAAGTATTTGAACGAATTTTTCTATCCACACAAACTACATACCGGTACGTTGAATTGTTTATTTTGTAAGATGTGTGTACATTTTCTGCTGAAATAAGTTCGAATAAAAAGGCTTTATAGTTGTTTGCAAAACAAAATACATATTGCTTTCATTTATATTGTTATTTGATTTTAATAATCGAAAGATATTTTGTGTACATGTAGATTGTCTGAGCAAAGGAACATACCTCGGCTAGATATGGATATTTAAACAAAAAACGTGTCTAACTAAATTCATAACATAGTAGAAGACTAGAAGTGTTCTTTTAATATTAAACATTTGATGTTTAATCCAATAAATTTTAATCCAATTAAAACACTGCCAATTAATTAACTGTGTGAAGTATAAATCGTCTGGTCATGTGTTTTCGTTCCGACTTTTCTTTGATTGGACCTGAGGGGCGTACTTTAGGGTCAGAAGCGCAAGTTGGTGTTGTAAGGGTTCGTTCTCACTGGATTCCTCGATTAAAGCTTCGTCTGCTTTGGCCCACCTGATGTACCGACAGTGTTTCATCTCTTCAAACAGTTTTCCGTCCTCCAAGTCCTGAAGGTTGGCGACATCGTCCGTCTGCAGAGACTCCCGCCGGAAATTGCGGTAGCTTTGCATTTTCTGCACCTCATCTTGTAGCGTGTCGAAGGTGGTGGCATGCATGATCTGCGTGCTGACCCTGCGCAGTTGACGTCTCGGTGTTGAGCGTGATGTGGACGAGGCAGTCTGTTGCATGAGGGTGGACTGCCTTTCTTTCTTGGCACCGGGATTGTTACTGATCCCACGTGACTCGGGCGAAAAGGCTGGCGAGGAGAACTTACTGTGGGCCAGCGAAGGGGCCTTGGTGGGAGTGGACGCCCGCGAGAGGACGCTCATGTCAAGACCCGACTTGGGTTGCTCATCACAGTGGCCGTGGTGTGGCGACATGTCATCAATGCGTATAGACGGCGCTGGCATTTCACCTTTTGAAGTCATGCGACGGACGTGGTTCTTCAGCTGCACTTTGTACATGTCCAGGTAATTGGTTCGCAGCACCTTGCTATTGGAGTCCAGTTGTTGCTCGGCAATGGTGGCGCAGGTACCGACACTCGTCTGAGGGCGTCTTTTCTTTGGCCGCGGTCTTCGGGAGTAAGACATCGGGCTGGACTGAGGACGCATGCCGAGCTTCTTCATGACCATTCTCACTGATTCCTCAGCCGCTGCCGTGCTCTCATTGTCTGCCAGGGCTTTGCTTGCCTCGCTGATAACGCTCTTTGTCCTAGTCACCGGCGTTGCCCACTTCCCATCAGTCCTGTCTCCCTGCGTCGGTGTCTCCATCTTCTCTCCGGTGCCACCCGCGGCAGTCGCATGCTCGTCTGCCCCATCGCCTTCTGGGAAAACCTCCGCTGCCTCCTCAAAGTCCTCCAGTACCTTCCGATAGTGATATATCTGGAGCTGATCTGATCTCATCGAGGACAGTCTTCTCTTGGACATCTTGTTGTATTCTCTGGGAGGCGGTTTGCTGGTGGCCACCGATTCAGCGTGAGACGCATAGCGCTGTTGTCCCCTGACTCTCTTCTTAGGAAGCAGGGTGGCTAGTTCAGCCGGGGTGGGGAGAGTCGTGGCGCGGGGACGGGCCAGGTACGATGGCATCCCCTCGGGCTTGGCCAGCCGCGGCATGGGGCACTCCTTAGACGACACTCGCCAGATCCCCTCATGAGACTTGCGGATGCAGAGGTCCCGGTCCTTCTCCAGGACGTTGACCACTTTCTTCAATCTCTGCTCCTGCGTGCGGTTCTGCATCTGGGCCTTGACAAAGATGCGGCTGGAGCGGGCTTTGAGCTTGTCCAGCAGCCGACGGTAGTGGCGCTCGGTGCTGCCCGGTCCGCCAGTCATGGCGACGACCTTCTGTTTAACAAGTCAAAGGAAAACAGCTTGTATAGACGAATACAACTTTTGTACAAGTATCCTTGGTTGATCTGACTCACTGCTTATCCGTTAAGTGAAGTTTTGTATCTCATTGATAATGCTGCTGCATAATCTGATGATGTCAGTATCCTGCAATCAAAACAAATGTTTAATGTTATTATTATTTAAGCCTTAGTATCACTTTAATTCAACGCAAGGACGATAACACTATCACATTGGTAGCAGACCTGCCAATCACTGACAGCGGCCAGGCACGGTTGAGTGACATTCAGCTGTCCACGGGCGACCAAAACCCGGCCAAATTACAGACTTGACTTCAAGTCGTAAGGTTTCGCCTGCGAATGGACACAATGTAATTGTTATCGACAAATCCACTTAGCTACAGGGATCCGCGTTTTCAAAGGCAGCAGCCAAACCAGAAATTTGAACACAAACACATTAATTGTGCCATTTAATATTAATTTGTTGCCTAAAAAACACGAGAAACCTTCCTTCGCTTTCGTAACACACAATAAGATTTTTCCGGGTGGGCAGTTTCTAAAATAAAAGTTACACTGTTCCTCACTTTGATGGTGCTTTTTCATTGTAAAGAACCGGTCACTCGTTGGCATTACGGATACACCGTACCACGAGTATCCATGAGTAAAAAAAATAATTGCAAAGACATGAAGCAGAACGCGACAACGAGCCTGGAGTACAACTTCCATTGAAGAAAACCTTGTGTCACAATGGGCTTGCGAGCAACGAACCCATCGATAAATAGTATCCTGGAATTAGCTGACTTATTGATGTCCGTCCTCCAACCTCCCGCCAAGAACCCATGGAAATACACCAAACGCGGGGAGAATAGCTGAACACGTGGCCAATTATTATTAATGTCCTTACACCTGATTGAGCAGCAACACCCAACAGTGAACTCCGTAGCCAGAAAAAACAACATACAGAACACCAACAAAAGAAATGTTTTCACTCCACGTCTCATACGCATGTCGTTTCCCGAAATTTGATCTTTTTTTGCGACGTAAGTTAAAAACATACATGTATGTATCTCCCCAGAGTCAGCACATGCTCAGAAAAAGCCACAGCAATCTCAATTAATATTATACCCAATTTAACGGATAAAAATCTGTATACCGATATTTCACAAATTAGGACTCGCGCGCTAAACTTTTTTTTTTTTTTAACACAGCGAATTCCCCCCCCCCATTTATTTCAAGATTATGATGCACATTATTACACATTTCCCGGCGCATTATACCTTGCGGCACAGAACACATCATTATTGAATACAGTTCTCGATAATTCATGGTTATACCTTTGCCCTATTGGGACCTCTGACTCACATTGTCAGAGGGAAACGAGGAAATATCAACCCCACGATACTCATTCATCAGTTTGGGTGTTTATTTACAACACCGGTCGTTTCTTTTAGTTCCTTGTCAGGTGGGAAATTTCGGGGAATTCTTTTTAAAGGGGCCTTCGGTCTCCGGTAGCATTTGATTTTACAACGTCAACGACTGACTGAGAGGGTTCGGACCAAATATCGCCCAAAAAATGAAAGGGATAACTTGACTTTTCGAAAATGTATATATTTTTAATTTTCGGGGAACAAACTTAAAACATTATAATATTTCAGAAAAATTGGAAAATGTTACTTGACGTGACAGACTCTTTCGTAACTCGTAAATGTTTTATCTTATCTTACCTCAAATTGTACTTTTCACATCCATGTGAGAGCAATTGTTCATGGCGGCGTTTTACGGCTACTAGCAACCTTGTAGATATCCAACTATTATCATTCGTAACTACCAGCATCAACTAAAACCTCGTTGATTGTGGGCGGGCGTAAGATGGGTGGCGAAAACAAACAACAACGATTAGTGTGGAGTGTTTAATTAACAACGGACTTATCTCTCAGTTAGTTCAATTCACCGCCAGTTCAAGTGACCGCTAGCCGAGATATCGTAGTGCGGTCCTTTAGATGTTGAAAACGGTCTTGATTCTCTGAAATGATGGTATTGGATCAGGGAGAAGTCTTGGCACGCTTAGGCACACCACACAGAGATGAAGGGAAGTCGTTGCTTGCTTCGCATAAAGTGTCACACGTCAGTTGAAGGACATTAATGTTGCTTCTTTTTAAGCGTTTCCGCGAACTCCTTGACCGACTGACATTCGCTGCACATGGGCGCCTAAACCCGTTCTGTGATCCGCAGGAGAGTGAAAAGTGTGCAACGGCGAACTTTTTATTGTGACTTGTTTATCGCGGTTATGGTTGTTGCGAAGTCCATCTTTTGTCCATCACTTCAGGCTTAAGGTATACTGTACCAATAATCGATACCGCGCCATTATTCGAAGGTTTTCATGTATTGATTTAACCACAAACCTTGTAACGGGCTTGGCTGAAAGGAATCAATTTACTTATTAATAATTCATTATTACATGAAGTGGGAAAATATCTCCGTTCCACGTGCCTGTGTGTACTTTATATGAAGACCTCAATTATTTTATAATGATGACGTCATGCACGCAAAGTTAGAAACTATGACGAAAACGCGTAGGGTTCTCAGTATTAAGTTCGTGGTTCGATTTCTCTCCTGGCCCTCATTTTTCCCTTTTTTTCTACACTCTTCGATTGTTTCCCCCTTATAACTGTTAGGCCCTATTGTTTAAGTGGGATTCGAATTTTATAGCACAAAAGTTATTTTTCTTTTCTGAATTGAGGTTCGTAGTTCGATTCCTGTCCTGGTCTTCATTTCCCCCCCCCCCTTTTTTTTCAACAGTTTTCGACTTTTTCCCTGCAACTGTTATTATTAAAGTCGGATTCGAATTTTATAGCAGAAAAAAACCCACAGAAATACAAGCGTGCAGTCACGTGCACGGCTTCTGCTCTTCTGTTCTATAAACCTTCAATTTCATGGCCCACAATAATTGCTCTAATAGCAAAGTATATTTCAGGGACACAAATTGTGATTTGGCTCGCGTAGGCAATGATGGGCCAATTTAATTACAGGTCTGTACCCCTCGTGGTCTCGCACCACATAAATAGTGGTCTCGATCTCCACCACCAAACTCATTTTGGGGGACAACAACTCAAGAAAAACATGATGTATTAGCAGTATTACATTGAATTTTCGTACACTTATTTGTCATAATGTTCAATATTACGAGATTTAATTTCATAAGAAACCGTCGAACAATGAAGCTATTACGAGCGCTACAAATACAATCCGAATGGTAGTCAACGTCGATTTTTCGCGTTTAAAACACTACATTGTTGCGATCATATTATATTTGTTGTTTCATGTTTTCACATGATATTTAATCTCCTTATGTAACACATCGTGGAAACTCAGTGCGCGAAATTTCAATTTAATACATAGTTATATTTCTTGAGTAGTTGATCGAAAACGAGTTTGTCTTGTTCAATCGTGTTGATGATGCGCGTTGTACATGCACGTGGAGACCATAGACATACAGGTGGAGACCACTATTTATGTGGCGCGCCCTCTATTGAACGAAACCTAGACAGCTGTCAGACACACGTGCGCAGCGGCTGCGAGTTTACTTTGCGCTCCCTTATTCTCGAAAGAACTGTCGGTTGTTGTTTGACGGTTTCTCACGAAAAGGAATCTCCTTATGTTACACATCAAGACTGATCACTGGCCGAACTTACAGCAAAGACGCCATGCTTTTGGAAAACCGTCGTAAAAGATCGTAATCATCGTCAGTCCTCTGAAGGTACGGAATTCAATGGTTTTTGCTATTAAATTATTCCTATGCCATGGAAATATGAGTTGTCAATGTCAGCCTGGTTCATATTGGTCAAGACCCCCATTGGTTTGTACACAGTATGCCAGGAGGTGAGATACAAACATTTTGACCATTGGTGACCTCTTAAAGGGAATATACAAGTTTTACAACATTTGCAAACATCGAAAAATAAATCTACCAAGTTTTTACGAAATACCTTACTACTAGTAAGGTACTAGGATGTTGGTAAATGACAGTCTCAAGCATCTTGTAAAATTATGGCACCTGGTGTGAAGTCATTTTCAAGAAAATGGTATTTTTGTATACATTTCCAACGGTGGTCGGCCGATCAGCGTTGGAAAAACCTAAGTATTTTTCAACTACTGCTCCAAATTTACCATTTTTTTCAGCCAAATGTGTGTTTGCAATTGGTTACATGTTCATGAACGGGTGCAGGCCAGCTAGACTGGTTCCCTTGCCTTACAATTTTCCATCATCTATAAATTGATCCATTTTATCTTCTGTGGAGTCAGGGAACCAGACTACTTGAACATTTTTGTTTTTCTTGGTTTTTCCAACCTTTTCGAACACAAAACTTCAAAAATGTCAGTGTAACAATATTTGATCTATTATACTAACCCCTCAAATAGTTCATTTCTGAAAATTACAGCAAAAGCCAATGATGTACATGTACATTCCCTTTAAATAGCAGGAGGGTTAAGCAAGCGATCACAGATCACACTACTGTAGCTCAGATAAGTGGGGTGATGTTTAAATGACAAAATAATTTCGTTTTGAATTGATTTTCGGCTCCCCTACAAATAGCAATGGGACCATCCATTCCACCCCCAGGCCACATGTCATGCATGTAGTGCAGAGGTAGTCCAGTATTTAAGCCACATGATTTATGGGGCTAACAATCTGACAAAAGGCACCATCCGTGATAGCCAGCCCCACAAATGTGGCCAATTTGCTGTACAACCTGACTTCCTCTGTAAATATAGGCCACACTTGGAACATGTACCCAAACATATAGAACTTTGTCAAGTTTTCATTTTCATATTTAGACTTTGTTGTTTATTTATGCTTTAGAACCCTCTTAACTTATACTAGCCATAGAAAAGAAGTTTAGCATTTTTCAGACGTCATTTAGATATGCAAATGTGTGCAAAGTGCAAACAAACTAGAATTACACAATCAGTGACAATCAAAATGAGCATACATGTAACAATCATGACAATTAGCCGCCGATGTTGCCCGTCGCCATCGTGAATATTATCAACCTTAAGCGTCATCATTCTTGGTATTTCCTAACCTTTATACTTTAGGTCAGTTCTGTAGACAAAATCTTGCTCTTTCCAGCAATACCAAACACAACACTTGTAAATTATGTCAAAGAAAAAGTTTATACGAGGAAATAAAACTCTCCAAATTCAAGGTAATTTGTTTGATTTTTGCTTTAAAAATACAGAATTTAATATGCAAGGAGTCATTAGCACCTTCTGGCATCATACGCACTGGAAAATTTGGGGTTTTCTGATCCGACTGACATACATGGTTCATTATATTGTTAGTGGCAAAACCGGTGTCGCACTATGTCACAAAGGGGGTGATACATGTACGTGGGTGTACATGTTGCAATGTGGGCCGGCAGAAGTCGAAGGGCGTGGCCGGCCAGCGCTGCGCCAGTGCGGACCACATAATCTTAACACAATGATTCACTTAACTTTGTCAAACTGTTACGTATTGAACTCACATATCGCACACCTATGTTTCCTTTGTCAATTCTCTGTCAATTGAGTACAGAATATGTTTCATTCTCTGCCTGCTAGAATAGTTAAGTGACTTGAATCACACACCCTTACATGCCTATTAGGGTTGGCTGATTTAAATCGCGTTGATTTAATTCACCGATTTAAATCCCAATTTTTAATTCTTGTCGCAACATTGTTGTGTCATATTGTGACATGTATCATGTGTCTACTCGCATGGTGATTTTATCAATGTTCCTTCTTTTTGTACTCACTCCAATATGGATCTCCTTATTTTTAATTCAATTTAGAGCAAAGCACTCAGAGTGTGCAAACCTACATGTACCAACATGACCAAGGATAAACAATTCCCGCCTTATTGTCAGTTCACCTGAAAGAAATACTCGTATTTATGGTGAGGAATCCTTTAAAAAAAATCCTGCATGCAGACCCAAAAACAAATCCTTAAACTCAGACATTTTGTGTATGTATGCCTGTGTTGGTCTACCTTTCCACTCCCCCATTGTATAAAATGGTCTAGTCCATTGACCTGTGTGGTTAGATAAGGTGGGTGATAAGGGATACAGGGTCAGTGCCACGCACACAAAGAGGGTCACGCAGGGCGATTCGTTGAAAGTTTTCCATATGATGGGTGAAAAAATCTGTAAAAAAATCCTGCATCCAGATGAACATGTAGATCTGGATCTTTTCCAAAATCCAATCGATTTGTACTTGTACCAAAGACCACTCCCGCAAAAACTTTCATGAAAATCGGTCCATAACCAACAAACCAACCAACCAACCAACCAAATCACAAACCAATTAACGCTGGTGCAAACATACATGTAGCCTCCTTGGCGGAGCTACGTAATAAGTTTTTGGATAAACGTTATGAAATTGGAACTGTTGCTCAAGAAAATGAAATTGACACTTTATTAATTGAATAGATGTTAATTTTTCTTTTTAGGTTTCAAAGCCTATTCCCTGGCCGCAGCCTGGGCCTGCATGAGGAGTTCAGCCTGGTGGAGGTGCTGAAGGCCATCTCGCTGCAGCATGGACTTAGGCCGTCAGATGAGCGAGTTGGAGAAAAGGCTCAAGCGCCTACAGATGCAGCTGACACTTGTACAAGTAGAGCAAGGTGGCAAAAATGAAGACGGAAATCCACAACCTGAACACCATCAAACCATCGGTAAGCCTGTTATACCCAAAATATAGCAGTGGTCCCAAATATAGCCCAAAATATGGCAGTGGTCCCAACTATAGCCCAAAATATGGCAGTGGTCCCAACTATAGCCCAAAATATGGCAGTGGTCCCAACTATAGCCCAAAATATGGCAGTGGTCCCAACTATAGCCCAAAATATGGCAGTGGTCCCAACTGTAGCCCAATATATGGCAGTGGTCCCAACTGTAGCCGAAAATATGGCAGTGGTCCAAAGTATAGCCCAAAATATGGCAGTGGTCCCAACTATAGCCCAAAATATGGCAGTGGTCCCAACAATACAATGTAGTTGGGGTGATGTCATACTTGGGGCATTTCACCTCTAAACCCTTCAATAAGAGCATATTTCATGTTGCTGTGAAGCACACAACTTTGCTGAACAATGAATCAGAGTTGTAATGACTCAAGTCAATGATTTACAATGTAATTGACTCGACTCAGGTCCCAATGGGTAATTGACTCGACTGGACTCGAGTCTCTCATCAGTAGACTCGACTCGACTTGAGTCGAAGGTTAATAAAACTTGCGTCCTAAAACTGTGCGAACAGTACAAAGTTTTATATTCGTATTAATCTCAGACCACACACAAAAACACCTTGAAACAAAAGTTTGACTTTTTGGCATAGTATTTTTGAGCAGCTATTTTATTTCGTTGTATTCAAATTTTATTAACCCAAACAGTTTTGGCACATTGGCCAGAAAAAACGGGGGCATGTACATTGTGTGTACGTTTGCCCCAAATCGTTGCCATGCTTGGCATCACTCAGTCCGGTACATTGCCTAATTAGGGAACATTTAATTTGTCTCCAGATCAGGCAACACATTTCCAAAACAGGATACAAATCACAAATATCATATTTTGCTCATAATTTTTTAAGCACATTGAAAAAAATTATTTTTGAAGATAAAATATTTTCGATATCACTTATTGAACAAAATGAAAAAACAATTTTTTTAAATTATTAATTTTACATATATTTTTTTCAAAAAAGAATATTTCAAATTCTCATATTTTTAGTCTGCAACACCTCACCGCTTAGGCTCTTTGTGAAATTATTCAGTCATTTATTAGACAAAAATACCATATTGTTGATTTATCGTTATATATCGTTATATAAAGATATAGATCATTAAAAATTGCAGGTCAAAACAGTTAGATGAAATTAAATTATTGTTTCCTGAACAGGAAGCACTCTTTTTTTTACATCACGGATGTTCCCTGTTTGGGAAACATTGTAAAGTGTCTCCAATTTTGGAGACATCTAATTGTTCCCTGTTCAGGCAACAGTTAAGGCATCTCCACTTCTGGAAACGCTTTCAATGTTTCCTGATTTGGGAACATTATTGATGTTTCCATAACTGGAGTCATCTGATTGTTTCTATTTTTGGAAACATGCCTGCCATGTTTCCAGTTAAGGAAACATGTATCTTCTTATGGAAACACTTTTAAATAATATAACATGATGTGTGATTAGGGTATTGTAATTAAACTTCAACAAAAAAGTTTTGGCTTCATTACAGTGTTGGAGTACTCGTACCCGAGTACAACTCAAGTACACTCAGTTACTCGGCCCATATTCGACTATCAGTACTCGAAAATTAGTTGGACTCGTACTCGATTCTTTGTACTCGAATTTTGGCACGGACTCGTTGGTTTGGACTCAGTACTCGACCCCAGTACTCGGGAGTACAAATCGAGTACATTTCTTTTTTTATCAATTCCATTGCAACCTAGAACTCAAGTCGTTACCAGTGAGACCATATAAGGATTTTTCCCAAGGTAGGATTTTGCTTGGGAATAATCCCGAAACGGTATTTCTGGTTTTATATAAATCTCAATCTAAATTTGTAGGGAGAAATGTTAGGACTAGGGCTATTGATTGGGACTTTTAATACACTTCTTGATGGTTCATGTAAGCCTACACCAGTGCAGTTGATTCACAATATTACTGTAAACAGATCAAGGAATGATTAAAGCAGACGTGAGTGTGCTCTCTTTAAAATTAAAAGCTTTGAAGAAAACCTTTTAAAATCAGATCTTGACTTACTCAGAACAATGATTTTGTGTAATTATGCAAAACCTAAATTGAGCCGATGTTAATGAAGTAGGGGCGTTTGAATGTGTTAACATCATCTTACACTTTGTAATTAAGTGGAATCAGTTGATTTAAATGATTACAAAAAATCATTTGATTTAAATACCGATTTAAATCAGTGATTTAAATCAAGGTGATTTAAATCAGCCAACCCTGCTTTGTTATTTTTTTTCTTGTTTCCCCCCCCCCCCCCCTTTTTCCATTTTTTTTCCCATTGGATAACACATGTTTTCGTTCTACACAGGACTTTAGGACTTTTTTCGCATCCGATCAACTTATAACCTGGCACACACTTAGACTGCCAACTGAAGATTCAGCCCGAGGCCAAATCATAACGTCATCACGTGTCACGTGACGTCATCCTAAAAATGCATCCTTAACACCCTATATCTACAGAACCGGAAGTCCGATCGGGTTAAAACTTGGTATGCAGGTATTCTGGGAAGAGTTATGAACAAAAATTGTTGTGACGTCACTATGACGTCATCATGTGATTTTTAAATTATTATTCAATTTTTGGACCTTTTACTCATATCTCATGAACGGAACAAGGTAAATTCGAATTCTTTTTGTAGAAGGTTTGTTAGGTGAAAGATAGACCATGCACAAAATTTTGTAAAACGTGTGACGCCATCATGACATCATCAAAAACGTGATTTTTTTATTCACATATAAGGGTATGTTGGATTGTTGTGAAACTTGATGGGTAGGTAGGTATAGATAAAAGCAAAATCTGCAGTGATGTCACCATGACCACATCATTTTAAATTTTTCATCAATTACCCAAAATTAGTTAATATACGACCCGATCTAATTCAAACCTGGCATACACTTAAACCACCATCTGAAGATTCAGGCTGAACCATGACGTCATCATGATGTCATCAGGTGTCACGTGACGTAATCCTAAAATTGTGATTTTATCCTCATCATGTTATCTAAGAATTATTCAATTTTTGGACCTTTAAGCCTCTCATCAATGGAATGCGCTAAATTCGAAATTCTATTTGTACATGTAATAGGTTTGTTAGGTCATAGATACAGACAATTTAGAATAATGTGTGACGTCATCATGACGTCATTTTTTTTAAAACATCCGATAGACACTGAGAGTTAGACCACCATGTATAGAATACTCATGGAATTGTTCATTCAACTTGGATGAAACTCCTTTGAGGCAGTTATTGCTAAAACGGTCGAAATAGCCCAGTGTTTGTCCACAAACACATTTCTAGTTGTGTTTTACTTTCTTTTATTTATTTACTTGCCTATTTATTTATTTATTTATTTATTTATTTTTGTGTGTGTACTTTTTGGTATTGTACTCAGACTCGGACTTCGGTACTCGGCCCAGTACTCCGCCTTGAATGTACTCGTACTCGGTGCTTTGCACTCGGACTCGTCACAGTGTACTTGGACTCGGCCCCTAAAGTACTCAGAGAACTCGGTACTCGGCTTTGAGTACTCGACTCCGACACTGCTTCATTATAAAGATGATGGCACACTAAGTACTGTGACACTGAGTTAACATGCGGTACATGTAGTTAAAGGGGCATAGCTGTGTCCTAAAAAATCCATGAAATTTTCATGCTGTTGATTGTTCACTTAGTTCAAACATCTGGTTGATTTAGGAAACCAACCTGATGTCTTACCGTTCCCGAGAATAGATGGAAAATGTTTACATCGGACATGAGTCCAATGTACAAATACATTTTACCTGTCGTCTCAGTCAATGTTCGATACACGTTGTACATGTATGTCACTTAAAGGGAATATACAACATTTGCAAACATCGAAAAATAAAACTACCAAGTTTTTGCGAAATACCTTAATAGGATGTTGGTAAATGACAGTCTAAAGCATCCTGTAAAATTATGGCACCTGGTATACTGTCATTTTCAAGAAAAGTGGTATTTTTGTATCAATTTCCAACGCTGATCGGCCGATCAGCGTTGGAAACAACTGGCTTTTTTTCAAATACTGGCCCCAATTGACCATTGCACTTGTTTGCAATCGATTACAAACCTATGAACGGGTACGAGCCAGCTAGACTGGTTCCCTGACCTTACAATTCCCCAATGTATGTAAACTGCTCTGTTTCTTCTTATATGGAGTCAGGGAGCCAGACTACAGGAAAATGATCGTTTTTCTTGGTTTTTATAGCATTTTCGAACCCAAAACTTCCAAAAAGTCAGTGTAATTATATTTGCTTTATATTTCCAACCCCCCAATTCCATCCATTTCTGAAAATTACAGCAAAAGCAAATGATGTATATTCCCTTTAAGCACCAATGCACAAATGTGGTTTCTTACATTTCCGCAAAAGGCGAACACATCACAACTGGCATGAACATCCCGACTTTTTTGGGTCGCAAAAGTGGACCCTGAAAGTAGTTCTTACAAGCATTTACACAAAAATAAAACAGAAATGCCCCATTTTAAAAGGATAGTTGTGTGGATGTTTATATTCTACTTATTCTTTTCGATAATTAACAGCATATTCATTAAAGTACATTTTGTACATGTAGTTCAATTAGGCACAATCAGGAAACGTTTTGTTTCCAGATCTGGCAACATTTTTCCATAATGGGAAACAAATCACTTTAATAAACTGTATAAAACTAATGTTAAATAAAACTGAAACATGTATGAACAAAATAATGCATAAAAGTGGGAGTGATCTCCAATGTGAAAAAAACCCTTTTATTGGGTTTTCACCTTTTTACATACATACATACTTTTTTTTTATGCAAAGAACATTTCAAATGGGTGTATCTTGTGACTGCCGGACTTCACCACCACGTCGTTTTGAGGAAATATTAACTCATTTATTATGAATATTTTGTGGCATAATATCATTACCACATTACCT